CAGGTCATTCTAATCTGAATCTTATTATTGATTGTATAGGGTCAGAATCTGATAAGATTGACCTGAAATCAAGATTCTGTCAGAAATGATCTCAAGATTGTCGACTTGTGCAAAACATCATTTAACTGAGAGTTAACTTTCTGACCAATCACTTTCGTTTTAACTCATTTAACTTTTGTAGTGTGAAGGTAGCCTGTGCCAAGAAAGTCATAAATAGCCATCTGGATCAAATTTCGCATGATTATCCTTTTATTAAAGAGGAGAGCGCTCAACACGGAGCTTCATCTGTTAGATTTGTTAAAAATCTTGCATTGGTCCTTTTATCTAAGTTATTTTCATCTAAGTAAAAGCACTAACTGCTCTTTAATATCAGGAGAATGCTTCGTAAAAATTCTTAAGTTCTCCATTTAACTAAGTCTAGACTTAAGTATATAAAATTAACACACGTAAGTGTACAAAACGAAGACTTAACTCAAGACTTAGTTAAATCTAGCACTTAAGAATTGTTATGAAACATCCTTCAGAAAAAGCAAGTATTATTTCACTTTTATATGGTTGTGTTTATCTCTAGATTTTACAGTTCTTTTTGATAAATAACTCAAAAAATGTTGGCAAAGTTAGCCTCAAGATCAATGATTAGTCGAATGAATCACATTCGATTATTTTCATCGGCTAAGAATACGTCAACTGATACTGCAAAAACGACAAAAACAAAAGGTGAAAAATCGACTCACGATAATGCTCCTGGATGGAAAGAAACGCATGCAAGTCAAAGTGGTAAGTATGGCTAATAGTTGAGATAATATTCTATTCTAAAATCATTTTAGAAGCAACAACGAAAGCTGATAAATCGAAAAATAAATCATCTGAACAAATGCAAAATGAAACAATTAAAAATGTTCATGGTCAACAGAAGAAAGAAGAAAATAAACCAAAAGTATAAATAGCAAGTCAATCCTCGTAATGATATCTTTATTCTCATTTAGTTTTTCAACATAACTAGTCTCCCCCCTTCCAAAATAAAATAACTAGACAATTGAAACGTTTGACTTTTCATCCAAGAAATTGTCATTAACGTTATTCTACCAAAACCTGTTCTGTCTTCTTAGTCTCATTTTATCTTTTGTATTGTTTTTCTTAACATTAAAACTGAAATAAACAAGTACTCAATAACTCTTTATCTATAATAGAAATAATTAGCATTAAATAAATGAAAAACTTTGAGTATCGTTTATATACAGACCATTGAATCAATCTTGATCTTGTTGTATTGTAAACAAACTTATTCCAGCATTTATTTACAGAAAATCTTTCAGTACATAGAGAAATATACTGTTCACTACGTCTCAAAAGAGATATAAAGCCATATTTTAGAATGTGTCTGTTTTAATCAATTAAAAAGTATCTCTTTTGAGAAACGAATATTTTGGCACGAAATTACGTTTCTCAAAAGAGATACAATTATAGATATAGAATCAAAAGAGGTATATTATCTCCTCATTTCTACATTCCAAAT